AGAGAGAGGTAGATTCTCCTGCCACGAAGCCCACAGCAGTGAACATGCAGAATCTGCCAGACCATTTCAAAAAACACATCTTCGTGGTTGTTCCTTATTTTACTAGTAACGTATCAACATGGGTAGCAAACACAGTTTAACATACACTTATAATTAGGCACAAAATGTCAGAAGCTGGCTTTCAGCTGATATCAATTAGACTGGAATAGTTTATGTAAACTCTTCCTCAGAAAGAAATTAAACAATTGCACAAAAAGGACTTGCCTACACTTAAAAATGTGTGCTTGGGCCAAATTCAAACCATAGTGAAACTGTCTTTGGAGGGCTGGATCACACGGCCTTGACGCAGACCCAGTGCTAGCCCATTTCGCAATATGGCTTTTCTAGTTTGGCTCACTGAGCTGCATTGCAGCCTCGAGCCGAGTTTAAGGTCTTGTGTCTGGGGCCATAGTCTGGCTGAGCCTCCATCCATCCATCCAAACAGGGCTCCCTGCTAAAAGGCAACCCCTCACCCCTGTGCCTGGGCACAAAAACATGTGCCTCCCTCATATCTCCATGCCTCCCTACTGCCATTCCCAGCTCCTGAAAGGCCTCGGCAGGGAAACCTCACGACTCCACTGACCTTAAGAACAGGCTCCCACATACCAGCTGGAGGTCAAGTCACATTTGAGGTACATTACAGTCAAGTAACTCAACCAAATCCTTTGCAATGTACAGACAGAGCATGTAACAATCTAAGCGAGGTTTTAAGCTGCTTTGATTCTTCAAGCCATCACTAGGATTAAAGAGCTCATTAAAGTTATAATTTCTTTCTAAAGATTTCCTTTATAAACTATGTGCAAGGGTAAAGTATAAACAAGAAACCTCCACAACTACTGAGAACTCAGTAGCATCTGTCCAGGTTCAGAGAAAGCCAGCCCCCACTCTGAAATTCCTTTCTCCCAGTTCAAGCTTGCTTCTCAGAAGGACAAAAGAAAGGTTTTAATGGAGCTCTTTGGAATAACATGTCACAGAAAAAAAAAGAAGTATGTTTTACTTAAGCAGCTTGAACAACTGAGAGGCCTGAGAAACTTCCAGCAGCATCCCCCAGCAGCAGAGAAGTCAAAAATGGATGCTCACAAGCAAGACTTGCAAGGGCTTAGAGTGGCCTAGCAGACATTGCATAGGCAGCTCACTCCTTACGAGGCGAAAATCTGAATTATGATGGCACATCTGAGCTGTAACTCTACAAAAAGGAAATTACAGCACAGTGCAAGAATTGACAAACTCCTAGCAGAAAACGGCCGAAGCGCAGACAAGTTCTGTAATGCAGTCCATGCATGACAGCCACAAACTGCACAACTCTGCCCAGCTGATTATGAAGTACTTGCTCTGCACCATCACCTCATTAGAATCATTAGGGCAGCTGCCATTTGGTCCCACTACCCTTCCCCCACCTCTAGGTTCATGGGGGTTCATGGTTTGCAGACAAATTAGCCAGATTGGCACCTATTTGCGGAAAGTCAGGGCTTTAATGGTGCAAAATATCTCGTCCCCTCCCCTGCCATCTTTCCCAACCCAGAGCATCACAGAAACATTGTTAGAAATCTTGCTTTTGAAACACAGAACAAAACACTGCATTTATTTTCAGTTTTCCCTCTATGCTGGAGTTGAACTCCACTTCACAATTCATTATTAAAACCATTCTGCAGCAACATCTGCAGGGAATTATGTAAAGTTATCTCTGTGCACTGCCAAGCCAGTCTGAGGTTTGCTCTTGCACTCACACCATCTGTAAAAATTAGGTAGTGTTTTACAGCTTGAGTTAACCCTTACAGATGTCCCTATCTCTCAGGCATCAAAATGCAACTCTAAAGCTGATGTAGCATGGATGTCTAGACTGAGATTCATCAGCCCTCTTACCTGATAAGGACTCAAACGGAGTCTGAGCCTCACAGAAGGCACACAGGGCGTTGTAGTCACTGCGCCCAGACCAAGCTCAGCTCAAGCTTTACTGCATTACTCCAAAACCTGCCTTAATTTTTAAGGCAGGATTGCAATTTTCTCCCCACATATGTTGACCCCTTGGTTGGCATCTGTCAACATCCCTAGCTGCAACAGCAAAGATGTCTCTACACTCACATAGTCCAGCAAGGCTCTGATAACTCTCACTCATCAGCATGGAGCTAGAACACTTACCAAGAGATGAAAGGTTCCATGGCAAGACGATGATTGCAAAAGAGATTGGTCACACTGGAGAGTGATGAAATGACAGAAATACTTTGATTCTAAAAATCATGTTCCTGCTTTTAAATTGTATTCCCAATCCTTTCCCCAAAAGGATTTAAAAAAAGCAAAACAATTAAGCATTTTCCACAACCCACACAATGGGAAACTACTGGAATATAGTTAAACATCCATGTTTCAATATTGTCCCTTTCTCCACACCAACAGGAAAATTAGTTATTCTTCTTGAAGTCTGCCTAATCATAAGATGATACAAATCACTTTAGAAAAATAAAATAATGAAGGATCATGCTGAACATTGGTTTCTAATTCTCCCCTCAGCCATTAATTTCTTTATAGGACTTTAATTGTCAATTTATGAGCTTAACTAAAGTAAACAAGAAGGACAGCAATGCTATAAAAGGGAATGGGAATCTCTCCTGCATGAGTGGACTACACATTCTTCTAAACAAATACTTAAATAACACTCTACCTCTCAAGAGCCTTGGAAAAATCCCACTCAAGCAGCAGTCTGGTACATTTGACATGTGCTCTTTGGGCTTCAGAGAACTGCTCCCTTTTAAGTCCTGCCTTGGAACCATCTCTTGAGGGTTTTTTTGATCCAACAACTTAAACTGTCCCACAAAGCAGTACCAGATACAATCAGGTCACTTCCAGACCTGGCACACAGACCTTTTTTGTGCCAACAGCTAATTACTTTCCTTCAGAGATGTGATCTGCCGCTTTAAAAAACAGCTAAGGCAAGAGTATTGCCATGCAGATGAAGGTGCTTGCTTTTTCCACCCCTCTAGAGCTCTTCCCACACACTACGTGTATATTTGATACAAACGTCAGTCGTAATTGGCTCAGGCAGACCTCCAAAGACCATGCAGAAGCAGAAATACAAAGGTACTAGAAGTAGCATTATGCAAGAGAGATTTTCTGCAGTAAACATATTCTCACACCAACTTCCTGAAAGTTCACTACAGTATCTGTAGGCTGTTAGAGGCTATCACTGTACATGCTGGCTCTGCTCTCTGTAAAAGGCTCCTTCAGTCCCACACACTTGGCAAAGGCTCTGGGTTGAAAGCATTGAATTTGCA